TGATTTTAAGGGAGGTTTGGGATCAAACCATTAGTCTGGAAGTTAAACCACCTTTCTCCAGCCTGATGGCGGCCAAGGGTTATGGAAGTTGTAGTCCAACACTTATATAGGATGGCAGATGGGGAAATTTAAGCTAGACCTACTGTATATGTCTATTGCATTAATGCATTTCCCTAGTCTGTTCTAAGGAAAACTGTAGAATCATGTCTGAAAATAGGTTCTGTTAATTAAACAAATTATGAACAGATACTTGGTTCGTCTGGGAGAAAAAAATCTGGGAAATTAACAGTTGTTCATGTTCTGTCAATACTTTCACCAGGCTAAGGCATGCACATTTTCATATTTTGCTGCACCGCTGTTAAGTCAGAAAACACAACTTCCATATTTTGCCTTTGTGTACTAAGACCACATTCCCAGTAAGTTGGACTGATCAAGGAAAGAAATCTCAATTGATTTAATATAATTCTTAAAAGACATTTTAATGCATTAATTGCCATGAAAGTGAATACTCTCAATCTAGATCTAGAACTATAATTATCAACCTGAATCAACCCATTGCAGAATGAAGGCTCTTCATTGAAGGTTATGGACTGTAATCTACCATGCCAGTTCAGCATGGGTTGGTAGATGGATGTTTTTCGACTTTTCAGTGTAGGGCTGAGAGAGGGAGTGGCCAGCCCAAGTCATCCAGGAGGCTCTTGTACCTAAGGGAGAACAAGAACCTGGGTCTCCCTGCTTCTAGTCCAGCACCTTTACAACTATTGGGCTGAAATGTAGGGAGTGGCCTAAAGTCACCCAACTGACTTCTTTGCCCAAGGGAGGAGTAGAAGTCATGGACCCCCAGATTCTAGTGCTCTACCTTCACCTCTTTACCACACTGGCAGAGAGAGAGAGAGAGATTGTTTCTTATTTCCATGACATTAAAAGCAACAATGCAGATCTAGGTTACAATAGCCAAGACTTTATGGAAGCCACATCCAGCCCATAGGACTACCCGACCCCCTTCCCTCCATAAACTGATTGTGTTAAAATGCTTTTGATGCATGACCTGGAATGGCTTACTTGCCACAGCCCATTGTACTCATCAGGGGATGACCTCACATATAGAAACCAGACTAGGAGTGTAGGACAGATGCCAGCATTTTACACATGCCACATTGTGCTGCATTTGTAATTTCAATCATAAAGTCTCCATTGCCTAAGAATTTATCTATTTATTATTAGATTTCTGTCCTGCCTTTATTTTATAGAACTCAAGGTGGGGCAGGTTATGCTCCTGACTCTGCATCTGAGAGCATCTGATTCTACAGTCCTAATATTTGATATCCACCCATGGAAAGGTACCTGGATAGCATCACAAATGATTGAATTCCTCCATTCACCCCAGTCTTTATAACCACTGCATGAGCCTGACGTTTTAGCCATCAAGTTCCCAAACCTGATGAAATTAACTATGAATTGGTTTGTGCAAGAAGAGGAACAGCCTGCATGGGAAAGTAAGACATTGTTATAAGAATCCTGTCCTATTTCTGGAACTTCTCTTTGGGAATATCAAACAACAGAAAGTATTGAATGTATGTTTAATTTTTCCAAAAGGGGAGTGTAGGGGGTGTAATCAAACCAAAAGATTCCAATCTGAGATCTCTGGAAAGCTGTTCTTGTATGCTGTTTCTGGAATTCATCCAGTAAAGGATGAGTAGGAAGCAGTTCTATTTGTGGAGAAATCCTTGGGGGCGGGGGGGTGGTGTTCTTTTCGGTCAAAGCAGTATGGGCCAGTTAACTAGTATCAATTAACGTTTTAATGAACTGCACAGCCATGAGAATATTATATCCTCATTGAATAGAGCTGCCCCAACCTAAAGGCAATTACCGACATTCCTTCCACCTCCCACTTCTTATAGCCCTTTGAATCTGAAGAGAGAGATCTTTGTAAGTGGCTCAGAGGAGCAATTTTCCCAGAATTCCCTTTAAAAAGCAGCTCATTTCAGGAAAGGATTACATGACCTCAACCACAAGAGCTCTGCACACAAAACACCAAGGCATTGTTTAAGTGAGCTTTATGAGCCTTTCACTGAATAAAAAGGCTTGGGTATTTTTGAATTCACATCTGTTGAGGCACGGTGCTTCCAGCGGTTAACAAGCTATTTTGCTTTTCAATAGAAACATATGTAATGTCTTTTCCTATTATGTTATGGATGCCATATGCTGTTTTAGATCAAGAAGGCCCACCAACTGGATCATCTATCATCAGTTTCTTTAATATTATCTTCCTCCATGTTGGGAAGTAATTATAGCCCTAACAGCTGAACATGGTGTAAGGATTAGGACAAGATTTGCATCAGTGAGATTTGGATCCCCAAAGTTGCTCACTAGTTTACCTTTGGACATTTGTCTGATCTTGCTCCCAGGTGAAGAGACAAGATAATTGTTTGTGCTTAACTGAGCTCCTTACTAGAAGTGATAAGCTGCAAATATAGTCAATAAAAAGAAAATGCTTAGCTTCCCTAACAGTCCTTTTTTTAAAAAAAAATGTTCCCTTTCTAGACCAACATTTCTTGTTGTCGGTGCCCAATCAAGTTTTTGAAAGCAGTTTTGCAACTAATAATAGCTAATTATCACATTGAAATCCATTTCTCCTATCAGTACAGAAGCTGGCATTATATTGAGGTCTTGATCCAAAGGCATAATTTGAAGTGGGGGACTTCTGTATGTGCTCCCCCATAATATCGTGTGATTTCTTGAAATTAGCTTTCCTGTGTGTCAGGTTACTTACCTGGGCAAAGCTGAAAGATGCCCTCCCATGAAGCTGGAGTTGAAAGACAAGCAACACTGGTTTTACCACTTGGTTCACTGGCTTGAAACAAAGATGTGTAAGGATGGCTGAGACATTCATTCCATCTGAATTTTCATACAAATCTAGCATATTCACATCTACCAAATTTCATGCAGCATGTTGTCAAAAACTCACATACTGGATAGAAGTGCACAACAATGTATATATTGAGCGAAGCAAGGGTTGGTATCACCTTTATTTATTTCACCACATGTAGATGTCACCCATTCCTTGCAACTCACTTTTGGGTCACTGAACTCTGTTACACAATCTCCTACAGTGCCTTTGCCATTCCCTCCCCCAGTTTTGCCAAATGGGAGGGAAAAAAGTTGCTCGCTGATACTTTATACATGTCCACCATCCTCTTAAGAAGATCTTGCAAACTTTCCGCATCTTGTGCAAGCTTTCTGGATTTTAGTGTGAGATTTCTGTGATTTGATTTGATTTTTGGCAGCTGGAAGTGCTTTCGGGGAATTCAATGGATGTTGTGCTGATTTAGATTTAAGTGCACACCAAACTGGCCTGCATTAGGAGAGTTGCCTAAGAAAATCTATCTAGTAAAAGAAACAAGCACAAGAATATGGATATTGGGAGAAACACACATTTTGTTTGTGATAAAGCGGTTGACAATATCATAATTTTTTCTCCTTTGGACTAAGCAGGTGAGGAGGTAAATGTACAGCTCCTGGTTGGATGGGCAAAGTTCAAGTGTGAACAATGAACTCTGAGTGAAATGGGGAGAAGCGGTCATGGTTTTTCTATTTTCTATTTATTAAGGGTATTGTATATTGTAATTTTAATTGATTTTAACTCTTTTGTAAACCACCCAGAGTCATTTCAACAAGATGGGCAGTGCCAAATTTCCATATAAATAAATAAATGAGGAAAGCAAATTGAGGATTGGGTAAAGATTCACAAGAAAGACAAGGGAGCATGATCATTTTAGCCAGGCAGGGAAGGGGGTTTCTGAGGAGCAATGCCCCATTTTTGATCTATGATCTATCTTGCCAGGGAAACTCGTGTCAGGAGCTGAATTTTCATCACCCTATTAATTCTAAGGGCCCATGTGCCATCTAACTATTGAAATAAAAATCAGGATACTTGTCCTTTTTGTGGGCATTGATAGATAGATGCTTTATAACTTCGTGAAACTGTGCCTTAAATTGTCTTGATTCAAAATGGATCAGAACATTGACAGCTAAGGTTCAAAACACTGACCACAAAAAATATTAAAAAATCATTTCGAATGCAAGCACATTTTTGAGAGAAAGAGAGAGAGAACAAAACAGATGACTATTTTAAACAATTATTATAGCTGTTAAGCTTACTGCTTGAAGCTTCAATCTATCATTTTTCTCTTCTCCAATCTTCCTAAGATTTTTAGCCTTCTACCCCATGCCAAAGGTTTATCTCTTTATACATTTCCAGCTATAAGAGACTTTAGTGACTACGGCTTTATCTCTAAGACCTCTCGTGAGGCAACATCTCATCTCATCTGTTGTGGGCACTACTTGGTCCCACCAAAGTCTTGCTACAATCCTATTTAATGTCAGGAATCTAATCTTTTGGCTACAATATTTTTCAAGACCAAGCAAAAAGGTGGTTGGTCACATTCAAAAAGATATATTATGAGAAAGATACATCAGTTCAGATACTTTTTATATGACATGTATGGTCTTGTTTTCAGGCAATAATCTTTTGATTCTCCCTGCATTATTAGAGATTCTTCATTCCTCTAGATTTTTAAGAAGGGTTTATGTTTTATCTCTTTCTATAATTAATTGATTGGGGTTTTTTAACCTCCCATACTATCTCTGATTTTTAAACTTATTTAATTTTAATGTAGTTGCTAACCGCTCTGGAAGCATTTGTAATGAAGTCTGTAGGTCATGAATCAAATAAATGATCTGAAAAGACAGTGCATTATATTTCTCCTTCTGCAACATACTCCTTGAATGACTCCAATACACAAACTATATGGGCTTCTAATCTAGCAGCCAGTTGGGTTATCTGACTCAAAATCTCTTTTCCAGAGCTTTGAATCTGCCAGCATTTAAGTATTATGTTATTTTTTAAAAATAGATTAAGAATCTGCATCTACAGATATGTTAGACACAGTGTTGGTTTACCTATCTGCTTTTTCTTTTCTTTTTCTTTTTCCCTTCAGCATGGGTATGAGTCACGATGACGACCACGTGTCCTGCACTGGGAGATCTCACATCATGTCTGGAGAATGGGTGAAGGGCAGAAACCCCAGTGATCTATCCTGGTCTTCCTGCAGCCGTGATGACCTTGAAAAGTTTCTAAAGTAAGAATGTTTGCTGGCTGCAAAGCATTTGAACCATAGGTCAGTAGTCTTTTGTCTTCCCAGTTGAAATAAGGAACAATTTTCAGTGGTGGGTATTGAAGGTAAATCGTGTCTGCTTTTGCATCCTGGCCTTCACAAAAATTATTGGCAGGAGAACAAAAGCTTTTATGGTGCCCAGACTTCAGCATCTTGACAGCTTCTTGAAAAGAATCCTGGTGTTGCTGTTGTTTTTACTTCCAATTCTGTCATATTTTGTGACAATAGAGATATGTCTGGGTGCTTCTGAATAGCTCTTTCAGTTGGGATGAAGTATCTGGTTCTCTGTTTTAGGAAGTGTTGGCAAAAATAACAGAAACCTGAGCTTCACAAGTGATCTCTCTTAATCCTTGAGCCAAGCGGAGCTTATGAAATATGAAGGATCTACCTCCCCTCTGTACTGTCTAGTAGAACTTATCTTGCATTATCATTTCACAACATCCAGCATTTCCTCACCTTCCACCATTGCCAATCCAGACCATGAATAGGATGAAGAAATGGAGAACATTATTTTCTCTTTGATGTGATGGATGGAGAGGGTGTGATTAGACATCATGTTCCGGGAGTGTGTGGGAGGAGGGAGGAGGCTGAGTGACAATTACAAGTTTACCATCATTTTTAATTTGGTTCCTAAAGTCACTGCCTATTTCTACCCAACCTTTAGAGTTGATGTGCAATTTGTTCACCAGAATCTGTTGATAAGCAATAAAGTAAATTTTCTCTTTGTTAAAATCTGAGATCATCATCAAGCAGAAATTTAATTTCAGGCTTACCTCTTAAGATTGTAGACAATATCTCTGGTATTTTCATAGAAGTCTTTGATGTTTTGGTATTTTGAAATTACATGGTGTTTACTGAGATACTCGTGGTTTTAATTTTGGCTGTAAGTGTTTACTGTATGATGTAAACCACATTTAGCATCCTTTGTAGACCTAAACTGCATTTTCTGAATTTGAAAAAGCTTAATAAATAATAAATATTAATCTTTTGCTTCTCCAGGTCCAAAGTCAGCAACTGTTTGCTGGTAACTGACCCACGTAGCCGTTATGCTGTGCGGCTCCCGTATAAACTCCCAGGAATGCATTACAGTGCTGATGAGCAATGCCAGATCCTCTTTGGAACCAATGCAACTTTCTGTAAGAATATGGAGGTAAGATTCCCACTGGATCATAAAAGAACAGAGAACAAACCTTTGGAAAAATGGTCGCATTCTCTGGGATTTTAGGGCAGAGATTTCTTCCCCAAGGCAGTTTTAAAAGACCTGTGGGAAACACCTCCTTTTGCTTTAGAGACAATATTTTTTGCGAGAGATGAAAACTAGAGGTATTCCGTTGTTGAATACCACACTTTCATTCTTTTTTAAAAAAATGGTATGTAATATGTCAGAATGTAACATGCCAGTACTCATTAATTCCTTAAACTGCAGAGGATGAATTGCTAAATGACTGAAGCTTTATTATGGAACTTTACTGCTTCCAATGAACTGATATGTGGGTCAAAATAGATTCTGCCCACCCATCCTCAGACCGTCTCGAGGTTAACAGAGTGACCTCATAGGCATATAGATACCAGCCATTCCTTTCTTAGAGAGCTTGGAAGAGTTGTATGCTCTTTGTTTAGCACATAAATTTGTTTCAGTAGAAGTTTATTTATTTGTCATATTTATTCATCATATTTATATAGCTGCCCATCTCACAATCAAGTGATTCTGGGTGGCGTACAGCAAAGTTAAAAACAAAATTTACAGATTAATATTAAAAACTTTAAAATTACAAAAGGCACAAATCTGAAAACAGAATAAAAAAGAAATTAGGCAAAGAGGAGGTGTTAGTTACGCAGGAGTCATCTCAATATATCACCAGTCCCCTGGGGTCCCCAGGCCTGCTGCACAACCAGGTCTTGAGGGACTTCTGGAAGGCTAAAAGGAATCAGGCCAGCCTCACTTCAGGCGGAAGGATGTTCCATTAAGTGGGGGCCACAGCAGAAAAGGCCTTCTAGGGCCCGCCAAATGAAACTCCTTAGTCAATGGGACCCACAGCATGCCCTCTCTGCTGGATCTGGTGGGATGGGCAAATGTAACTGGGGAGAGGTGGTCTGTCAAATAACCCAGCCCCATGCCATGTAGGGCTTTAAAGGTCAAAACCAGCACCTTAAATTGGACCCAGAAACAGATTGGTAACCAATGAAGCTCATGGAGCAGAGATATAATGTGTGTTCTTCTGGAAACGCACATAACTGCTCATGATGCTGCATTCTGCATTAGCTGAAGCTTCCAGATACTTTTCAAGTGTAGCCCCATGTAGAGCACATTATAGTAGTCCAACTGGGAAGTGACTAGGGCATGCGTGACTGTGAGTAGAGCCCCTCGATCTAGGAATGGGCACAACTTTGCACAACCCAAAGCTGTGCAAAGGCCCCCCTAGCCACAACTGCCACCTGCTCCTCAAGCAGGAGTCATGAGACTAGGAGAACCCCCAGATTACACACAGAGTCCCCACCCAACACTAAAGATGATATAGTCCTAGAACCCATCTTCCTCGTAATAAAAATTTAAGCTACCTAAAATCTAATATAAAAATAAGTTCTACTTTTTCTACTTTTCCCTGTTGCATAAAAAAGATGTGCCAAACTAATAAAAACTCGGATTGCATGCTTGAGCAAAGGAGGTGAGTTTCATATCCTAACTGTTCTGCTTTATTAATTTTGGTACTGGCAGGCTACTAAAGCAACATGAAAAAGTGAGCAATTTTTTTTTCAGAAAGAAATTAAGTCAACTAGGGTTCTCAGAGAATGAGGACTACCAAACCTTCTATGTAGGTCCTTCTACGTTGGATTTTCTTATTCATGGAATTCTTTTCACAATGCCTTTTTTTGCTGAAATATTTCTGAAACACCAAAGTCTTGAGCACAACAGAAAATAGATAAGCACACAGGTTTTCTGTTGTTTTCCCCTAAACCTTGAAGCATCAAGGGCTATGCAGACCAAATAGAAAATACTTGCTTTGGAGATGTTTCTGGAGTTTGTGTCTTACACTGGGATGAGATGTACAAATCAATATTCATTTTACTGAAGATTAAATTTTTGGGAGAAAAATTATTGTTGAAGTTAATAATCTGAGAGTCAAAATCTCTTGCTGATTTATCTCATATTATCCAGCAGTTTCCTTAAAGTTCTTGATCTGTCTTCTGCCACTCCTTCCTTCTGTTTGTCACATGCAAGTGTGATTTTAATGAAAGCTTATCTGTGTTGCTGATTCTTGTGGGAGAACCCTGCCCCAGGCTTCTGGAAATGCAGTTTGAAAAGCATTGTGTCTTGAGTTTTGTCTTTTCCAATCCTAAAAGCTTTTAGTTCAATATTTTTTTTCTGGATCAGCATGCTAGGTTTTCATCTATTTTTTTTAACTTTCTGTGCCATATCCTGGTGTAGGCTTTCATGGCCAGTATCTGTTCAGCAGTGTTGGGCTTCAGGGTTCAATGACTCTGGTCTAGACAACAGATTTCCTGACATTTAGTTGGCAATTGTGGTTGGCATCTTCAAAGACAGGGTGGTCTACTACATAGACCACAGGCAACTGAGCAGGGACTGAATGGGCTCCTGTCTTTATAGCCAGGTGTCCTGACTTCTGATTGGTCTTTAGCCAAACTGGTTTCCAATTGGTGCAGGTTGGTGAGAGTGAGTCTCTGACTGGTTCTTTGTTTGCACCCAATCCTGATGGGTTATTTTGGTGGTGTTGGTGCCTGATTAGTCCTTTGTTCATACCAGCTCTGTGCAGTCCCATGCAATACTGAGGGCATGAAGGGCTGTGGCACCAGAGAAAAAGAGTGCAAACAGCAGGGTCAAGAAGGAAAGTCAAGGAAAAGACCTGTTATAAAAGGGGACAAAATGCTGGATTCTCTCCAATTACAAACTGGCTTGTGAAACACTCTAGACGAAGGACAACACAGAAGCTTTCCAAACACATTAAAACTAAAACTTGAGGGGGAAATAGGAGAGCAGATGTGTAGAGAAATGCCGTGCTTAAGACAGAGAAAAGGTGGCTGTTTCTCTCTTGATTTACCAGCCAACTACTTGACCATAAGCTTCTAATTTATTGTAGTCACATGGAGACCCCAGTTAATAGAAATACAATTGGAACTGTTTCCCTCCCCTTCCTTTCTCACCCACTGTAGAGGATAACTTTGATTTTTGGATTTGAGGATATGTTTAGTTGTTTGATGCATAGTTCATTATTCCATGCAGATTTATTTTCTGAAAACACAATTGTAAAAAAAATAAATAAATCAGATTCACAGAGGTTTACCAAAGTTTTGTATCATTCTCCTTATGACAGTGTCATTTCCAGAAACAATAAATATGCTTTTCCCCCCTTTCGGTTGGCAGCATTTGATGTGTGCTGGTCTCTGGTGCCTTGTGGAAGGAGATGCCTCTTGTAAAACCAAACTAGATCCTCCTCTGGATGGGACAGAATGTGGGGCTGACAAGGTAAACCTGTGAAGAACAGTCAACTCTACTTCCTAAAGACTGTTTTTGCACTTCTTGGTCAGATAGTAAAAATGATGGTTTCTGTGTAGTACGTGTGTGCAATGCTTGTTTGTAATGCTGCAGAAGTCAGAAAAACTGCACACTTGCAGCATTTATGACAACCCCATATTTGGCAACTGCAATGAGAAAAGATATCTCTGTGCGACAGAAGTGAACGAATGTGTCTGGACTTTCAAAACAGAACCTCTTTCTGTTTTTCAATTTTTGTTTTTTAATTCAGGATAGATGTAAACTACAGTGACCATATGATAAAGGACAGTCCTTTATTTCAGAAAGCTGTCCTTTAGATTTTTTTTTTTTAAACTCACTTTTGCCCTTTATTTTGTTCGTTGAATTTTTACCATACAAATGGCACCACTTAATGCACAATCTTTCACATTCATGTGAAAAATATGAAAATTGAATTGGCTTTTTAAAATAAATTTACACATATTGTTTGAGTTAGATATTTTTATTAGAATATGCATTTTTGTAACGTTTTTCTTGGTTTTGCTCTTGAATTTATAAAGCAAAGTTATAAACATAAACAATTACATGTTTTTATCTTTATGAACCTCTTTCAGATTTGTCCCTTTTTCAGATTTGTCCTTTATTTTTTCCAAGAAAATAAGGTCACCATAATGTAAACATAACCATAGTCATTGAAAAAGTAGACATTTATAACTATTTAGATTTTTTTTTTCAAGGACTGGGAATTGAAGAACAGCTAGGCTTTCTAGAATAACCCAGATTGCTTCACCCTCAAGCCACTACAGTAGAAGCGAATAGACTCCCTACCATGGAAAATCCCCTGCTCTAGATGTACAAGAATACTGAAAGGAGTGGGTGGGTTTTGTTTCATTTATTTATATAGGTGCCTTCAAGTCAGTCTTGACTCCTGGTGGCTGCCTGGACAAGTCCCTACAGTTTTCTTGGTAAGATCTGGAAGTGGTTTGCCATTGCCTGCTTCCTAGGGCTGAGAGAGAGGGATGACTGGCCCAAGGTCACCTAGCTAGTTTTGCACCTAAGCAGGACTATTGCTCATGGTCTCCTGGTTTCTAGTCCAGCACCTTCAGCATTAGACCAAACTGGCTGTCAATAGATCGAGTCCCTGCAGTTTTCTAGGCAGCATTTTCAGAAGAGATTTGCCCTTGCCTCCTTCTTTCCAGGGCTGAGAGAGGGGGACTGGCCCAAGGTCACCCAGCTGGCTTCATGCCTAAGGCAGGACTAGAACTCACAGTCTCCTGGTTTCTAACCACTACCCCAAACTGGCTTGGGTGGGTATTAATTCTACAGTTTTAATCTAGGCAGCAAAACTAGAGTATTTACTTGGGGAGAATAAAACAAAGAAAAGGGGGGAAAGGATGTAACAGAGTAGCTGTTTTTGCTTTTGATAAATCATTATTTTGGGGTTTCCCCATAGCCTGGATTATTGTCAGGCCTAGCCCAAGGAACTCCAAGAGACCATGCAAATTCAGTCCAGCTATGTTTATAAGCTCCAACCTCAAGCAAGAATCTTCCAAGACTCAACCCCCAGTTCCCAAAGCCCCCCAGCCACAACAGTGTGAATTCCTCAGGGAGGGGCCAGTCTCATCCTCTTGTTCCTCTCACGCGGTTCCGGTGAGCTAAGAAAATGCTTATCTCCCTGAGCTTGGCCTT